CACACAAGAAAAAGGTACAACTATCATGTAGTTGTACCTTTTTATTTTGTGTTCAAACCATACATACATACATACATACGTACATACATACATCACGAATGCTGTACATGACCCGGGGTGACAAAAGGAGGTGAATTTGTGGGAAACTCAAATTATGGAAAACACTTGGCCTTGAGCTTCCATGCGTCCATTGATCAACCCTGGTCACACATCTCTGCAGCATGCATCAATCCATGCGTGCATGCATGCATGCATGCATGCAAAGATACAGACACACATATGCACACACAAACGGGCGCATCTTTGTTGTTTTAAACACCTTGTTTCCCAGGAGTTGCTAAATATGGAAATTTTAGTTTTTCCTTGTTCTATTCCTTGCAGGAGGCATGGGCAGCTGCGGCGCGCCTAATGATGGAGGCATCCACCAAAATTTTCATTTTATCAGGCAAGGCTATCAGAGGGCAGCCCTCGGGTGGAACCGCAATGCATTGTTGGCCAAGAGCTCCGAGAATTACGAGGTGACCAATTCGGGGGACGTGAAGCTACAGATTGCTTTGCCAATCTCTTTGGAATCTGATGTGTATGCGCTTCAGTGCATCAAGGAGTACAAGCAGGGCAAGCTTGCATTGTGGGCATGGTCCTCTCGTGGCTATTCCACTGTCAAGGACATAGCCAGATGGCATTTCAATGGCGACGAGGAGGCCGCACTTGCTTTGATGGCACCTACAAAGACCAAGGAATTCACGGAGTACGTCCAGCTTCGTCAGCTACCGACATTGAGGTTACTTGGCGAGCACGCACCTCGTGTTGCTGTGGCAGAGCTTCCATCCTCGTTTTTGAAGGGTGAGAAAGTGCATGTGTGGTTTGCGGATAGAGGAGCTGAAGGCATGATCCCCCTCCCACACTGGTGTTCCCTTCCCATAGAATGTGCGTTGTCTCAATGGAAACACGAAGAGAAAAGCTGGAATCAGAAAATTACAGAGCGCTTCCCAAAACCCCTTGCACCAAACCAGCAGAAACAGTACGACACGTGGGTGGAAAACTCGACTAGAAGGATCGTTCTCGATCAAGAATCTCGCGCGGTTGTGAAGCATCCTGGATCTTGTCCGAAGGGACATCTTGCAAAGCATGGTGTTCTTCTGGAAACTTTCTGGAATTGGAGAATTTTCCATAATTTTGTTTGCCTGGAAAAAGCCGTATATATCAGCATACTACATGCACTTTTATCCACAGACCAGATCACATATTCTTTTTGACGGCCACATACATACATACATACATACATACATTACATTACATTACATTACATTACATTACATTACATTACATTACATTACATTACATTACATACATACATACATACATACATACATACATCCATGCATGCATGCATGCATACATACATACATACATACATACACACATACACACATACAGTCACCGACAGAATTTTGGAAATGAAAAAAAGGTTCGACATGGGTCGGTAAAAATCTGCCTCGCGTCGGGCCGTATTTTTCCATAATTCTTTTTTACTCATAAAAATGCACACCTCAAAAATCGGTAATAACTTGTATAACGAACCTTTTTGGAAGGGGCGTGTCGCGCTGCAGGTAAATTTCCATATATTTTTTTTCCATGTAAGGGTGCTTCTTGGCACTGGACCATTTCCATAATTATTTGTTTCCTGAAAGGGGTGACAAATTTTCTATTGACATGTTTCCATAATTCTTTTGGCCATGGCTACAGTGCATGATTATGGCTACAGTAGCATCAGTGGGAGAGATGTTTGGAGGATAAGGATCCCAAAACTGAATCTGGATTTTGTCCCAAAATCATGCAAATTTGCTGTAAACCAGGTAGTTTGGAGGATCAGGATCCGAAAAGTAAGATTTCCAAAATTAATTTTGCATCGTGGATTAGAAGCTTTTGTAGACATTTGTTTCATCCTGTTTTTTTGAAGGATCAGGGTCCCAAAACCGAATCTGGATTTTGTCCCAAGATCCTGCAAAAACAATCAAAACCAGGTAGTTTGAAGGATCAGGATCCGATAAGTAAGATTTCCAAAATTAATTTTGCATCGTGGATTAGAGGCTTTTGTAGACATTTGTATCACTTTTTTTTCTTTTTAGAGGGATCAGGATCCGAAAATTGCTATTTCCAAAATTCTTTTTTTTGAAAGTCCGTAATGTCGCTAATCTTTTGTCTTGGTTTCGGTCCCGAACCTTTTCCGATACCTGCGGCGCGCGAACCTTTTTTCATATCCAAAATTCTGTCGGTGACCATACACACATACACACATACACACATACACACATACATACATACATACATACATACATACATGCACACATACATGCACACATACATGCACACATACTTACATGCATACATACAGACATGCGAAGGTACCGACCTAGTGATAAATTTTGTATGGTTAAAGCAGGGGCGCACTAAATTATGGAAACCATGTGCGTTTGTCGCGGGTGGTTTTTAGGCCAGACACCGCCCAGGAAATTGCCATGTCTGCCAACGAGGAGGACTTGACATTGAGAGTGGGGGATGGAGATTGGAGGCCTCTTCGGGTGCGGCAGTTTGAGGTAGCGGAAACGCAGGTGGATGGAGAGATACCGGAGTGGCTACGTTTTTCCAACATGAGCAGTGAGATGACCAACAAGGTTGGCGCCAAAGATGATGCTGTTGAGCCCGATGACATGGAAGAGATCGACAAGATGCATGCCGAAGGTGGTAAGCATGCATATGTCCCTCTCGACGAAGACTCCGGGAATGAGGATGCGGCTGACACTCATGACGACTGTCTTGAGGAAGACGACATCCCAGACTGGATCCAGTGTTTCAAGGGGGTCAAGTTTTTCACCCTCAATCAGGCCTTGAACACCCCAGCGGCAATGCAGATTCGTTGCTAGCCTGCATGGTGATACCACATACATACATACATACATACATACCACGCAGAACGGGGGAAAACTTAATTTTGGAAAAATATATGTTTATTGCCTCGGAGGCCTATCTTCGCCTGCCCAGGTGTTGGTGGTGATGAGATCTCTACCCACTTGCAAGGCATCGTCCAGGATTTCAACAAGGCCAAGACTTCGAGGACTTGGGTCCGGGTAAATTTCAGCAAAGGCGATTTCCACCATGTTCTACCACCTCGACGTGGGACAAGGATTCAACGTTGGTGGCCCCAGGGTGAGCAGCCTAGATTCCAGGTGTGGTATCCGAAAAACCCAGGTGACACCACAGACTCCCGCACATTTCATGGTGAGACAGGTTTCGATCAAGCACGAGCTTGGGCGTGGGCTCGCCATGAAGTGTGGCTTGCGCAGCCGAATTCAAGCGATTGAAAGTGACCCGTTTTGACATATGTAAGCTTCAAGCTTCAAGATCTTTTTTCCATAATTACAAATGTACCAGCTTTTAGGGTTTTCCCAAGTGGTCTGTTGATATGTTCTGGCCCTGTTGAACCTTACGGTCACAATGCATACCATCTGAAATCTGAATGTGTGGCCTGGCAGTGCATGACAGTTCAATCATACGGTGCCCTTGTATATACACATATGGGTGTAGTTGTTCGGGGCAGCCGCTTTGGCAACTATTTATTTGGAATTGTGTACCCATATCTATGTACATATGTATTTTCTTTACACATATGTTCGTTCTAATAGATGCTACTTTGGCATCGATACTCTATGTACATTCAAATATGCAACTGTGCAATGCTCCGGACGATGCACACATATGTGTATGTACATACATATGTACATACATACATATGCATGCGCACCGGTTCGCGCGGATGAGCGCGCATAGAAGGGTTGCAAGACTGCTGCGGGGGAATCCGCACTGCACCCAAGCACAGGCGGTCTCAATACAAGAACAAATGGGAAATCATCCGGGAAACAGTTGCTGCTGCGCCGGCCTGCTGCTTCCCAAAACATAAACGATGCAAAAACATTGCACATCAAGGTAGAGCAGATCCTACCTTCTGTTTGATTACATACGTATTGTTGTTTTTTCCATAATTTGTGTTTCCCAACAGGTGTGGGGGTATGTATTCCCCGGCATGGTCATCTCAATACAGGGGATGCATATGGTTTTAGACCACAAATTTTGATGGTTGCATACACTGCATACTTTTTTTTGGGGCTATGTAACCCAAACATACATGAATATCTTTGGGCTTCCAGCCATGGCGGGTCACTGGGCAGGAGAAGCTGGTGGGCAGGATGGCGGGGTCAACCCCAACTTGGGGATGCAGTTCCAGTTTTAACCATACCAAGAGGTTGTATCCCAACTTAAGAATTACATACATATGAGGGCTATTACCCATGGACCATAGTGGTACCAACAAAGGAAAAACAATTGCACCACCAAAACTCATTGTTGTACGTACATACATATGCGGGATGTATCCTTTTGCCAAGCCACCAATTGGGTTGATACTACATACTTGCACTTGCATACATATTTCCATAACCCCCAAAAAAAAGGGGTTTGAATTGTGGATCCATGACATGTCCAACAGGTGGAGCCCCAAACATTAATTATGGAAAAAATAATTATGGAAAAAAATAATTATGGAAAAACCGGTCAATCTGCCCTAGCCCCCTGATTTTACAGGAAAAATCAATTATGGAAATAATGGCCGCCTCCAAGAATTATGGAAAAAAAAAAGGTTCGGATCACTTCCGGGATATTTTGAACCCTTATGGGGAAAAACCTAATTATGGAAAAATCGGACGCAGGCGCCGCCTGTCTAAGTTGAACGTTTTTTTTTCCATAATTCTGTCGGTTACCATAATACAATACACATGGTGCATCCATACAGCATCCAGCATGCACATATTTATTTAGTATGTAAAACATTATAAAACTATATAAAATTGATCAGAATTGGCACAGAAACTGCATAAAACAACAATCAAGGCTCTTCCCAAGGACTTGCATCCCGTAACCCTGGATCCCAAGCGGAGCGCTGGCACCTGAATTGATCAAGAATTCCCGGAGTGGCTCCTAACCGGCACAGTCATTTTTGTTCAGGTGCCAAAAGGATACAGTAATCCCTTGCCCCTTCCCCCAGACACCCTGAGAACCCCAAGTTGGGTCAGCTGGGGTGTCTTTCATGGGGATGGGACAGTAGATGTCAAAATTGGAGACCTACGAATTTGGCCGTTTTTGGTTGGCCCATAGCCAAATAACTCTTGGGGTTCTGCCAAAGATTGGGTTATGAGAGTTATGTGACCAAAGGATCACATCGAATTTAATGCGGCGATCATTTCACCTGGGCCCATCAACCGAGAAGAAAACAGCGGTGGGTATCCAGATGAGGGAGCTGATTGGACTGTAACCCTAGATTGGTGAGCTCCTATGAGCAATGAACAACTTACATCTTGAACAGTTTTCAACATTGAGATGACATGATCTGCATGCATGCCATGCCAGCAATTTCATGCCAAATTCATTTCCAGTTTAGATTTCATGGGTATTCAACCACCATCTCCAAAAAAAGGTGACCCCCAAATAAGGGATTGTTAGCCCTTTTTCGCTCGCCCTTAATACACTCACACATTCTTGGTGAGGTCTTCTTCGACTTGGACAGAGCATGACGGTGTTCAAATATCAATTGAGAATCCTGTCAAATGACAAGACAGCCATTCATGTATATAGATAAGATGATATGCACATATATAGTATGCAAATGCGCACAACATATCATCAACTTAAGGACCAACCCCACCAAATTCTCAATACATAATAATCATAATCATAGTAGTAATAGTAATAATAATAGTAGTGATAACAATAATAACAATAAATGTCAATGACACTAGTTAACACATGTTAAAACATAATGATAATAATTTACAATAATAATAAACATATTATTATAAATCTGTAATAATATACATATATGTATATATATAGATTAATCCTGATCAATCTGTCTTCCAGCCTTTCCGGTCCAGGAGTTTTCACATCCCTCCGCCTTCACGCAGCCTTAAAAAAGTGCCCCGCCTGCAACTCAGGTGGGGAGTTTGAGACAAAGGCGAAGGTTGCACCGTACTCCTTGGCGAAAGGATCGACTTCAACGAGAAGAAATGACCATTTAAAATTTTAGCTGGGGCAAAGCGGCTGACAACGGTTGATACATCATCAACAAACAAGGCATATAGTTTATGTATATATATATATACATATACATAGTATATATCTATAAATATATATATAAGTACATTCCAATTTGCGAAGGAAACAAAATCTTGGAAAACAACATCTAAACATATCTGAAGCCAGATTAATGTCAACCCTGGATTAATGTCAACCCCAAACGATTGTTTAATTGGGAGGCTACCATTTAAGTATCATATGAAATGACAATTGATTGACTATTGGAGGAGTACCCCCTAATTAATAAACCATGGTTTAATTAATAATATGGTTTAATATTGTCCATATTGGAGGAGTACCCCGTACCCCCCAGATTATATAAGTCTAATCAATAATTATACCAGATTATTGTCTAACCTTGGTTTTTTATATTATGGCTTCTGAATGCCTATGTTTTGGAGCAAAATTACCAGGCGATCCCCGCAGCTTCGCTTCTCCTCCCACCAGGATTGGTAGAGATTCACCATGCCCGAGACAGGTCGAAACTCCTGGGCAAGCCGTCGAAAAAAGGGAGCACACCATTTACAGAACGGGAGGTTTCTGGATGTCAAACCAGAGGGAAAGGGATTGTTGGTGATTATTGGTGATCATTGGTGATCATTGATGGTTATTGATGGTTATTGATGATTATTGGTGATTTTTATTGATAATAATTGATGATTATTGATGAGAATTGGTTGGAGTCGAACATCTCCTTCGCCGGAAAGCAGCGGCTAAGCAGCTCCCCAGACTCCTCTAAAAAAGTATTGCGCACCACGACATCCTGAGAAACAGAGCTCAGAGTGCCCGTAAATTGCTCAGGTACCCTCTGGTAATTTAACGTAGCTATTGAAAATGACCATTTATAGTGAGTTTTCCCATTAAAAAATGTGATTTTCCATAGTTATGTTCGTTTACCAGAGGGTAACATCAATGTTGGACAAACTTTTGATCAGTCTACTATCAGAAGGCGCTTGACATATGCCACTGGAATCAGTTTGTTTGTCCCTGATTTGGAACATGCTCGAAGTCACTTGCTATACTGAGTCTACAAAAAAACAATCCGCTCGTCCTACCTTTGCAAGGTTCATCATCACACATACGATGGTGTATTCACCTACATTTGGGTGTTGTTGCCGGGAAATGTAGGTAAACACCGGTTTGTCATGGTTTGTCTCAAAAGGATCCCCGTTAAATTTACTGGGGCCGGGTCAGGTCGTGAAGACAAATCGTAGGTACGATGCAGAATTCACACCCTACGTGATCTACAAAAAGACATGCACAACCTTAGTTGAACCTTTATAAAAACCATTCCGACCCACATTCAGCCTCTACAAAAAGAACCAGGTTTTCTTATCCAACCCCCTTGATCCCCCTTGATCCCCCTTGGTCACTCCGCTTGTTGGGTTGGTTAGAAAAGGTTGAGCTTTGTTTAGTGGATCAAAAGCACCTTTCAGTGCCATTCTCAGGAAAAAACATGATCAGCCATGACATTTTGGGGGTTCCAAAGCTCAATTTTCAGGCAAGTTTCCTACCATTTGATAGAACATTTTCAGGTACATCATGATGCACCAAGGGTGCACTTCTTTGAATTTCCACCAAGCCCTGTGAGCTGTGCCTTGCCCAGGAAGACTTCAGTGACTTTGACTGTGTCATCAATGTCTGAGATCACCTCGACCAAAATGTGCGGAGTTTTTTTTCAAACAAGGTCCACGGGGAATAATATTTGATGGTGATGTTTATTGGTATCTACAGTAGGGGTCAACCATCATAACATACACACATAGTATGTGTATATATATATATACACATTTACATATATATATATATACATACATGTTTGTTATATACACATATGCATAAATATATATATATATGTATATATCATATGCTTACCAAAAAAATCATGCTCACATCCATTGCCCAACACCAATCCAATCAATGGATTAGTTTTCAGAGGGACTTGATCTACAGCAAGTCCAGTGGTCGTATGGCAGGGCTAATCCCTCCCCCACCAAGGTTTCGCTGCAGTGATATATATATATTATATTTATATACTGTACATGTATATTATATATATATATTATATTATATTATTTATATATTATTTATATAATGTCATATTATATTTCATTTTATTTTATTATATTATATCATATATAGAATATATAATATATATAGTAGGGTTGTATAGGACAATTTCAGAGACCATTTTCAATCATGAGTCACCATTGGATAGATCTACTTGGAGGATCATCCCACGGCTGCCATGTCCGTGCACAGCTTAGGTGCGTGAACTCAGGCATCTCGGCCAAGGATGAAATTGCGGCCATGTCACCAACACTCCTTCAGGCTGAACCAGCAAAGAGGAACCTCTCGCCGTAACCTCCTGGGATGGACATAGTTGGACACACCACATACTTGGACTCGATTTCCAATATATGGATGTAGCATGATGTAACAAGCCTTAAAACCTGCTAAATCATGCGGGTCTTTGTCAAATGTTACGCCTTGCTGCTTCATCCCGCCTACACACCACAGATGGGATAAACATCATGTCACTTGCAGGATAGAGGGGAGACAAGAACTGGAGAATGGCTAGGCCCCTAGGTGAAACTCATGGCATGAATGGAACGAATCCCCGAAAAAAAACAAAAAAACACACAACACATTTTCCCAGAATCTTGTCACAAATGGCATTTACCTCAAACATCCTCAAACATGTTCCAGGTATCTCAAAGTTCAATCAATTTTTTGGGAGTTGCCTAATTTGAGTATATTATATATTTCTCAAACCTTGTGTATCCCTGTTCACCACGCCGTTTGCCAATCAAAATCATGTTTTTTCGGGGATTACTTGGGGTCCCCAACGACTTGGACACCACAGAATCAATGTTGATATCCCATACGTTGATGATTCACCGAACAGAACATCACGATCAAAATCACTATTTCCAATTTGCTTTTGTAGCTAGTGATTTTTGTCGTGGCCAAGAGGTGATAACCAGTGATTTAGATATTCATTTTCCCATATCAATAACCAGCTTGCACATGATCCCATCACTGGGCATCATCCCAGTGACTGGGAATATATTGGGCATCCCCTTTGATTGGCTCGAACACAACACATGGACAATGCTTAGCCAATGAATTAAGGGGTGCATTTTCTTCAGACCCACGTCAGATCTGGAAGATGATTAAACTTGAATCCCCTTACATCCCTGTGGCTAGTGGTTGAACTCATGATACATATATATATATATATTATATATGTACATATATATATATACATATGTATATATATATATATATGTATATATATATGTATATATATATATGTATATATATGTATATATATGTATATATATATATGTATATATATATACATATATACGCCATTAAATCCCCATTACAACTCACCATTCTCTCCGAATTCCCAGCGCCTCACCAGGGGATTTGGTGGGCAGCCGTACTGTGAAGTTCAAGATACCGGTCTCCTGAGGAGTCCCCGAAAGGATAGAAGAAATGATTCACTATGATGATGATGATTTACTTGTCTATCCTTTTTTTTTGGGGTTATATAAACTATTATACTAATGTTAATCATATGTGATAAACAATATTGAAGAATGGATAATAATGGTAAACCCAAAGATAAAAGGAACATCTATGGGAAAAACATGATAGATACTTGTAATAAACCATCCACAATGGGGGGGTTAATGAAATTGGCCACCAGGGGAAATCCCCAGTGATAGGGCGTCCAGGGCATTAATCCAATGTCCCACAATGTCCCAGAATTCGATTGTGATTTTTTAACACCATTTTGCCTGTCTGATTTGCCATTTTGGGGAAATAAACTATGTTTCCGGGGCAAAGCCTTAAAATTTAAATGCGCTTATACATACCCCTAGGTATAGGGTTATTGCACCATGATCATGTTTATCCAGGATTTATCCATGTTGATCCATCTTTGACAAACTTCCAAACTCAGATCTAGCTGGTAGGGGCCCCATCATAGTCGATTGAATCTCGGTCCCTGGTCAGCATACTTGGTATAATAAACCCCGCATTTGGGTTGCTCAAGAATCTCAGATCTCCATCCATTCTGCCGCATCGACCATAAACTACACACAATTAACATGCATTAAGTATACAAGATTTAACCACTATGAATCACTATTAACCACTGGTTGGTGGTTTCAATCCCTCTGAAAAATATTAGTCAGTTGGGATGGTTATTCTCAATATACGGAAAAATAAAAGCCATGTTCCAAACCACCAACCAAATCACTAATCACTGATGCCAAGTGGTTTCCAGATTTTCCAGGAGACCGGACACCGGCCATGCTTTCCACCAGGTGGTCCGGCACCGTCACGTCCATCTGAAAAAACATTGCGAGGGAAACGTCCTATGGTAGAGCCATGTCATAAACCAATATGAACCACCTATGTTTTGATGGTTTAAAAATGTTTATACAGTAGATTATACATGTTAATGCATGTTCATACTCTATACCACCCATGTATGGTGCATCATATACAGCAAAGTTAGGGATGGTTTACCATCGTTTTAGTCACACTAAATGATTCTACATGGAAGTTCTTAGTTGGCAAGTCAACTATAAATGGTGGATGTTCAATTGCCATGTTTGGTTACCGGAGGGTAACCTTACCCAAGTGTTCCATGTGTCTAGATAAGTTATAGTAATTTACCCTAAAATAAGGTCGTTTGGGGGATGATTCCCAATACTAATCATTATTCCGGTGACGTCGCAGTGAGGTCGTTATAATTTATCCAGATGTATGGATTATTTACCAACATCTGGCCCAAAATGAATAAACGCTCCCCGTAGGTCAATGTACCATGCATGGAGCATGTGGTTTACACAAAGTATATTTTTGAACAGCGCATATAAACTGAAATTGAATCAAAACAAATTATTTCAGCATTTGAAATTGGGAGTTGCACAACAAAAGACGGATTGAACAAATATAAATTATAGCAATTTGACCAAGAACAGAGAGCCAACGCGGAGATAAGACCAACCGAAAATCAACCATTTCATGCGTAGACATTTTGGAAAGCGAAATGTCCAATGTGTTAAGTTTGTCTTTCAGTTTCTCTGAGACACCCATAGTTTTTCTTGCTTTTTAACAGGAGTCAGACATACTTTGTCCTCTTGAAATATGAAAAACCATAAAACACATATATAACTTTATATAACTATATAAAATTATATAGATAGTTTCCATGTACTTTTCTATAGCTGGGGGGTTCCTAAAATAGGGGTACGCCCAAAATGCTTCATTTTGGAACATCCAATTGAATATGGATGATTTGGGGGCACCACCACTTTAGGAAACCTCCATGTGATGACCTGTTATGACCTGTTACTCTGACCAGCCGTAGACCCCACCTCCACGCGACCGTTGCCATTTGTAGGTGGCAGATCTCTCCATTCCTCCTGGGACCCGACCCATCAGCCAAGGCATTGGTCATGCCAAGTCTCCACTGGGAAACCATGGGAAACACGAATCAGAAGGATTGGAGGTTGCTATATTTTCCGGGTTTTCCAATCTTTTTTTGGGGGGTTCCTGAAGAGGAAACTGCTAGGGTGCTGACCGGAGAGAATTCGACATTGTCTTCTCCACCTATGGAGAATTTACCACTAAGCTGCATAACCGCAATGTGTCCAAAGCCCTTCAGCATCCTTGAGTTGACACAGATATAGAACTCTTGATATGTCCCCCCTGTTATTGTTTCCTGGGCGAAATCATGATATTCAATGACAATCCCCTCAGTCCTTAATGGCCATAGCTAGAAATGATCGACCTCAGATCCATGTGCCCTCGCCATAGTGTCCACTCACAACTGATATTCCCATTCAAAACAAAACAAAAGCGATGTCTGCCCCATGTTTGATCACTGGATGACATCTGATTCTTCGCCCCTGAGATAGGTTTGTTAAAAGTGATGGGAACATCCCTAAAGTCGATGGCTCAAGATCGCCATTTTGGGATCAACATCTCCGATTTCTATCGATGTCTGGTCAAACCCAAGATCCATTTTTCATGAGACCCCTACACCATGTTGAGGGATAAATCAGTGAAATCCATAACAATTAGCTGGTAAAATCGGAATTCCAGATGTTTCAACCACATCTTTGGCTGTGTTTCATGCTTCAATTCCCGTCAATTCCCTATATTTTCATCAAAACCCTTCAAAATCATCCAAATTTCATTGATGCTTCATCTTTGGATAGCCCCTTTGCCCATAGTTTTCCATAGTTTTTTCCATGGGAAAAACTCCCGGTCCTCGCCATCGAACTTCACACTGAGCACCACATTGCGCTCGCCACCGCGGAAGGCCAGGGTGCGGAAGATCAGGCGGCCACGCTCCTGCGCCGTGAACGGCGCAATTATGGAAAGATGAGGAACACAAATCGTGGGTGTCACCAGCAAAACCATGGTTTGATATGGTTTGATATGTTTTTGATATTTTTTGTGATGTTTTATGTGGATTCACTGGCAAACATGGTGGGTTGAACCGGCCAAACATATTATATGAACATGAGCCAAAATGGTGATTACATGAGGTTTCAATCTATCAAACATGTTCCGATTGAGCCACGAAAAATGGCGGTTGATCCAGGAACAATGGTGTTTGTTGGGCATCTCTGATTGGTAAAAAATGGGGATACATGAGAATGTGGGTTAAAACAGCAGTGATCACCAATGGTGTGTTACGGTGTCTCTGAAAATGGGGAACTTATCCCCACAGTAATGACCATCAAATACTAGGGATATTGATTGTGAATCAATGGATGGAACAGGGTACCCACTTGTCAGGGAAACCAATTTTCAGTTGTGATTGAAACAAAATAGACTATCTTGTTTGAACTGGCAACATAGTGGGAACTAAGAAATTTAAAGTGGAAATTAAGCAACAAACACTGGGAATGAAGCACTCAAGCGTTGAGAAAAAACCACACGAAAAATTGTTAAAATTTGACCAAAACAAATGGATCTTCTGCGATGTCTCCCTCATACACATACTGGGACATGGCTGGGGTGTTTTTGTTGCTACCTTCTGACTTGGCAATTTTTTTGATGATCTAAATCCACGGGCCGAGCCGGTGGTTAACCCATCCATCTCAAACGTGGGCAGCTTCCAATTTGGAGCCGGGAAGAGATAAAGAAAACACCAAGAAGACCCAACTCAAGAACGACTTCCTGACTTTCTGGGAGTGGGAGACTGGGATCTGTGCTTATCTCTGCGGATTCTGGTGTTTTGAACCTCTGCGCCTCGTATCTCCTCACACCTTCTTTGCTAATGTTCTTGATGCCATGGATCATCTCCATCTGCGGGTTGCACGTGACAATGCGAAATGCACCGAAGTCAAACAATGCCTGAAGTTCAGGCAGAATTCAACCCTCTTTTTCTGTGGCAATTCCCCCAAATGTCAAGAGTAATCAATTCTTCTACTGTCTGTTTGGCTCCCTCTGATAAGAAACACCAGACTCAACATTCTTCTTCACCAAGCTTTGCAGTACCATCACATTGGCTGGGCATTTGTCCGTCCGATTGAAGGTGAAACTCTTGACTCTTGCTAAAACTCTTTGATGCGAACCGAAATCCAAATGTTTCATGTAACATTTGCCATCATTTACCCCAAGAATCACCCAGTTGTGTCGCTAAATCTGCCATCGAGCGGAATTTCACAGCTCCTCCATCCAGCATGGCTGGTACCGCCCCATTCCGTCCATTGTTCTATGGATATTTGGGGGATACATCCTCGCTTTCCAGACCCCAAATATCATAGTGTGAATGGTGTATATATATATATATATGTATGTACACACTTTTATACATAAATATAATTGTATATTGTGTATGATTATACATACATATAATTCTATATTTGTGTCAATAAAGGTCAATTATTCATGGGTTAAACCCACGGTTTACTTGCTGGTTCATCCCAGTTAGGATCCGCGAGTTACAACCCCGCTTATAAGTCCGGTACGCGGGGACAATGTCCAGTCATAAGTGGGATAACCCACTTCCTAAGTGGGATAAACCAAGTAAGGTTCCGTAACATGGCATAGAAGATACATACCAACAAGCCTTTGAGGACCCTCAAAGTGGCGACTTCTATTCGAAATACTCGGTGAATATCTTCTATCTTAGGAGGTACAAATTATACCCATTAATTCATGGCTCTTCACAATTTTACCATTCAATGGATATAATTGGGTGTAACCCACTGTCAAAGAACCCAAATATCAGATTGTTGATTATATATTATATATTTCCTTAATTCGATATGTGTTTGTCTGAAAATTTGGTATCTTTCAAATGGTTGTTTCAACAATGGGATAATGATGCTTGACCAATGATGTTAGGGGTACATAGGGATACACTATGTTCAGACAAACCCATATTGTAGCAATGGATATAGAAATCATATGAACCATTGATCAACCTCGGCATTTTCTGATTGACGCCCATAAAAACCCCTTAACATCTAAATCCCATTCTGGCTGGTGGTTTCAACCCCTCTGAAAAATATGACTTCGTCAGTTGGGATGATGACATTCCATTCCCAATCTATGGAAAGTCAATCCAAATTCCATGGTTCCAGTCACCACCAACCAGCATTAAGTCCCATTCAATCCCATTAAGTCCCATTACATCCTAAGTTTCAGGAGGCTCACCGCTGATTTAAAACCCCCTGGCTGGCACCATGATCTTCCGCGCCAATGCCATGCGAATCCGATGCCGTTGCTCGTTGCGGCGATAGATCCTGGTTGCCAGGCCAAGGTTTACCATGGAAAATCATCATTTTTTTTTTGGGAAATTCACCATGTTTTTAATGGGAAAATCACAATTTTTGATGGGAAAATCACAATGTTTAATGGGAAAATCACAATGTTTAATGGGACAATCACCATTTTTAATGGGAAAATCACCATTTTAATGGGAAAATCATCATTTTTAATATGAAAATCACCATTTTTAATGGGAAAATCACCATTTTAATGGGACAATCACCATTTTTAATGGGACCATCACCATTTTTAATCCGAAAATCACCATTTTTAATGGGAAAATGACTATCATTGCTGGTGTTTACCCTTTGGTTATTTAACATAGCCATGGTCTAGATGGCCCACAGAAATAGATGGTTTACCTAGCTATAAAATGGGTGGATCTTTCCATAGCTATGTTAAATAATAACCAGATGGTATATATGATATATATATATATACGATATATATATATATGATATATATATATGATATATATATATATATATATATACGATATATATACACATTATCCCTTATTATCTATAGGATATAATGTCTGTCATGGCATGTTTTTCTGGTTGGTGGTTTCAAACCATCCTGAAAAATATGAAAGTCAATGGGAAGGATGACATCCCATATATTATGGAACATTAAATTCATGTTTGAAACCACCAACCAATTTTCATTGTTTTTCAATATGCTTTGCTATGGATAAAGACTTAAAGAATGATAAATATATAACTTAACAGTAACATGATTTAATGTGAAATCACATGATTCTATATGATATGGTTTATAAGGTTAGTCCATGTTTTCCATTCCAACGGAAATCAAGCGGGTTTCGTACTTGGTGGTTCGCCCCCCCCCCCACGTTACTGTAGTAAATGGATTAGAACCTCAGCTATATATATATATCTCTTCAAGCCTGGCTTATTAGTTATAACCCACATACTATAACTGGGGTGAATCAACAAAATGGCCGGCAAAAAAAAACATGTTCTTTTCTATTAAAATCAAATAATAGAACATATCTGCATATCATAGAACACCATTTAATCATATTCAATAGTGTTCAATATCTCTGGTTTCTCCATGTAGCCATTGATTTGGGACCATTACTTTTTGATCATGCGAAACATCAAAGATCGCATCTGCGCTTTCAACGGGTATTTCTTCGGTTTGCTCCGACCTCTGTCATTTCCTTGATCGACAGATTGGGTTTATGGGAGAATCTGCAGAAAACCATGGTGTTTGCCAGGACATATACAAGGGGTTGCTGTAAAATCCTCGAGTTGGTTGAAGTATGTTGAAGTGAACATTGAAACTGAAACCCCAATCAATTTCAATGTGACAACTGTTCGACCAACTGTTCGACATTTGACAACACCAAACACGGCTAGAGGCACCAAGCGCGAATGGGCACCACCTAGGCGGAGACTCCAGGTGTGGGTCAATTTTGTCAACCCTTGGAGTTTTTTTTTGGAAGGACAGTGAAGTACGAAACTCACAAGTCTGAGACTTGTTGTTAAACCATGTTAAACTGACAAATAGGACTTTAACAATATACTGTATTATTAAACTGTATTAAACTGACAAATTATTAAATAGGACTTTAACATCAAATGTGAGACATTTTGAGACCTTGAAACGAATGAGTGACGCTCACACTGCGCTTCAGTGCTGTATGTGGTGGAATCTATGATGGGATTACCCCCTACACTCCATAGGCTTTCGAGAGTTGCGGGCCACAGTATTCCTACTGTTAAGAAGGAAACAAGTACATAAGACGTCCAACAATGCCATCCAATCTAACCATCATCAACCATCTAAAAAAAGCGGAATGCTGCCACCGACCCCGCAAAATCATTCTGGATTCGATATGGGGGGTCAAACATGTGGAGGCCTTCTGCCTATGTCCATAAATTTTCAAGATGAGCCGATCCAATTTTGGGATTGTATCAACTTCGATCCCCCATTTGCACTGATTCAACATATTCAATCGTTGGTTGTAGCTCTCTCCCCCATCTGAAAGACATTCTTACCATCCCTTTTCAGGGATATGTTTGAACCACAAACAGTAAATCCCATTGGATCTTCAATCCCAATTCTATCTTGGTAAAGTCATCACATTGTGGACAACAAAAACAGTCACTGGTTGGTGGTATACCTACCCCTCTGAAAAAATGATGGAGTTCGTCAGTTGGGACGATTATTCCCAAATATATGGGGGTAAAAATGTTCCAAACCACCAACCAGTTCAGTTTGTGGGCATGTCAACTATCATTCCTGGTAACACAAAATCCCCATGGTTTCGCCAAGTTCGCCTGGAACAACCTCATGGTTTTTCACATCAAAATCCCATTGAATCGCTATTATACACCTAAGTCTCCCCATCAAATATTCCACTGTAATTATCTATATCCCATTAAATATCATTATATACCTCTTATTATCAACACGATTTATCATTGGAACACAGAAAAACGAAACAGATACCTTGGAAATCCTATTCCTATGATCAGAGTGTATATATATATATATACATAATATATATATATATACACAGTACCTATTCCTATTCAAAAATCCCTTGTTATGCTTTATTGATATCCCGTTAGTTCTTATTTATATCTGGAAATCGAATTGGATCCCATGATATAACATCATATACCTATCATTATAGACATGTTTTATCCTCTTAAAAATTGAAAAACACAAAAACTGCGGGAGCCCCGACCCAGCCGTCGGCACCGGTGCGCGCGGCGGAGTCGTGCACCGCCAGGCCGTATCTGTTTGGCAAAGAAATCATCGATTGGATGGTGACTTAACCATGAAAATACCATGAAGGAACCAAGAAAAACTAGGATTTAAACCAGCAAGCATGGTGACTTAACCATCAAAGATGGTGATTTCAGCCACAAAAACATAGAAACAATATGAAACAACGAGGATTTAAACAGCAAAAATTGGTGAGATCTAACTATGAAGTATGGGATTTAATCAGCAAAAATGGTGGTATAATGGAATTGAAGATTAATAGGAATATCACTGGAAATAATGCTATGAAATGCCTTTGGGCCACAGCCCTATGGCCATAAAATGGATATCCTAATGCATATCAAACTGGCTCCTGGCTGCTGGTTGAAAATGGATCTCGGTTTTTGGCTCTGCAGCATTTCAATACACATGGAATCTGAACACCAACCCCCTTGTAGGCCAAACATGAGGATGAAAGGAAATTGGTCTGCACCATAATCAAACATATCTGGGGATACTGATCTGGTGTGGCTGTTACTAGTAGCTACGCAAAATGGTCCATTTATAATTAGATGATTTATGATGATTTACCTGCAAAACATGGTCATGCTCCCTAAGCAATGTTAGTTAGATAACCAAAGGATGCCAAAGGGTACTGTAATCCCATAGCTAAATAGTGCCACATCGGAGCATCGCTCAAAAAAAATAAAACATCACCAAAACCATTTCTTTTCTTACTGGTGATTAGTAATGGGGGAATGGGATGATTTTTCATAGCTATTATGGATCATTCACATTCCCCCATTCCCTACTAAGCACCAATAGGTTTTGAATCATTTTGAAAACAGAAAAGGACGCTGTGCGCCCGTGCGTTTTGCACTGTTTTCCTTGCAGTGTTTTGCAGTGTTTTCCTCTTGCAGTGTTTTCACATCATCAAAGGGCCACAATAGGCCACAATATTCCCAAATATGCCAAAATAGGCCACAAAGGTCTAAATAAACAAAAAACAAAAAAAACCAAAACAACCCAAAAAAACTAAAAACAAAAAAAAACAAAGATTTCTAGAGACTGTAGGCGTTGGGGGCATGTCTTTGTTTTTTTTTTGTTTTTTTTGGGTTTTCCGACCTTCCCTCAGATCAATTTCTTCCTCCGGACTTCGTTGTGTCTGTTTCCACATGTCGGCATGAAGGAACCCTTCGTCAACAATAAAATTAGATTCTTAAGAGGGACCTCTCTGAACTAAAAATCAAAATTATTTCGTTTTTTTGGGTTGGCTGGGGTGGAAACCAATTTTTTTTTAATTTCTTGAACAGCAAGGCCTAATTTCCGATTTTCTGGAGGTGGTGGCTCTGTTTGTGTAGTTTTCTTCTGAGCAAGGAATACCATCCTCTTTTCAAAGGAATGAACAAATATAATATATTGCATCCTTTTCAAGGAAACTTGCATAAAGGCATGCTGCACTGTGGTCTCTGAAAGAGCAACTGCTTATTGAAGAATACCCTTTCAAAATAATGCTATATTTCCTGCAAGGAACACTATCACTATACTTCTTCAAATGGCAATTCCATGCATTGCGCTTTATTACAGACACATCACCCTCTTTCAAAGGGATTGTTATATATATGAAAGGGTTCCCTTTTTGTACAACAACTTACTGTAAATCACACCATACTCAGCCATACTCTTTCACTAGGACTGCTGTGTGTCTTGAAGGCTACTTCTCAAAGAGATGATACATACTTTTGAAAGGAATATTGTGTGTAACTGTGTATATATATATATATAGTTAATCATATCATACAGTGAATTATGTTATTTGAAAATATATTGTCTTTTCCAAATGAATAATATTTCTTTTCGAAGTAATATGACATAACACCGTTGTTTAAATCAAGATTTCATGAAACCATCAAGTACTGTCTGAAAGGAATGCCGCTTTTCTGAAAAACACTAATGTATATGCATATTTTATCTTAAGGAAATTGTACCCTTCTCTAAAAGGACTACTACCTCTATGGAAGGAATTACATATGTTCATTAAAATATATGGAAGACAGAACGCACTTGTTCTAAAGGAATGCTATGCACATCTCAGGGTCTTGCTTTACACTTTCTCAAAGGAATGTTGTTCCCTCTATAGAAGAATGTTGCATAGAGGCATGCCACAACTTCCTCAAGAAATGCCACATTCTTTCAAATTTTCAACGATGACTTATGAGAAGCATGCTGTGGCCCTTAGAATCTGAGTTGATGCTGTACTAGGGTTTAATAACACTTTTTTTCAAAGGAACAATATGCTTACCCTTGCAAAACATTCCATATCTCTTTATGTAGGGAGCTCTGTCAGGAAGATGCAGTACTGCTTGGGGACAAAACGAAATCTTCTGTCAATCAAAAGTGCTGTTTCCTCTTGTTCATGCTTGCTATAAAAACCTGCAACATAGAAGCAAACACAACCTTATCATTTGAGCATGGCGCAACAGGGCAAAATTGAATTTTCTCTCTGATATTCACTGGCTAAATGACATAGAGCCGTTGATAGCATTATTTAGTTTCTCGCTGTGCATGTGCAATATGTTTTGTTTCTTGTGACCCAGCTGGATGAAATTCTTGAGGTATGCATATATATATATATTCCTTCAAATCGTCATACGTCATATCTTCCGCTTCCAAAGGCATGACGGGCACACACACCAAGTAGCTTAGAAGGATAGGGCACGAACTACGGACTGGAGCATAAATATACATACATAATGTGACAAGTCATGCGATACAACCTGCAGCAATGAGAACATGTCTTAAAACTCATTATATAGGGACTTTGTCAAAAATAGTGATTTATATGGAAATTACACGGGCGTGGGGCGTCCCCCTCTCTTTGAAAATTGCCGTTGCCGTGCGGTCCAAGAACGGTAAAAAACTCGTTTATATCAGATGGTCGGTTGTCCGGTTGCAACAGCCACGCCACGCGATCTGAGTTGCCGTGCGGACTGGGAATTCTTTCTTTCGCCTCATGTTTGCTCCAGCTAAGCGGGCGATCAAACTTGATGCATGGAATCATGTAAAGTGAAACCCAATGAATGGGGATGGTTAATGGATAGCTTAATGGTTCATGGTTGATGCATCTTGATGCATGGAATGGAACTTGATATTGGGTTTCCCTTTACATCATTTATGATTTTGATATTGGTGCCATAAGCCATCCCTCATGTAAAGGGACAGCCAATATCATAAACCTACTGAGGATGGCTTATGGCATCAATAAAAAATGGGTTATATCAGGGATGGTTTATGATTGAGCTTACCACATATTTGTGATTACATTTCTTAAAATCTTTAGCAATTGGTGAATTTACCCGTGTTTCAACTTATCTAAAATATGTTAGCCACTTGGGCGATAGATCATTGTATATCATTCCAAGACAAAGATAGAACTGAGCATTTCAAATCACTTTGCGCATGTGTGGGGGTCAAAAGTGGATTACAAATGGATCCACAAACTTTTTGATCTAAAGCATCAAATCGTCTCTTTTTTTGGTATAAGTTTGATTCACACCCAGGTTGCTGATGCTTACCCCCAACATTGGATTCATCCCCCCAAAAATGTTTAAATCGGATTATTATGATTATTGTATACTGTATACTAATTATTTATTTTAAATTATCGTTTACCTGTTGGTTGTTCAATGGGGGTGACCGTCGGGTGATCCCTCTATAGGGTACATAGCCCCTGAGACAGGAGGCTTCCACATCAGCAACTAGTTGCGGTTTATCGCAGTCGCAACTGGGATCACTTCCACTTCGAACTTTGCATCCCAGTTACAGTTTTGTTATATAACATTATAAAAACTATTTACATCCAACATACCATCTATCAAAACTAATCCCAATATCTAGCCCCATATTTTGATGATGTACCCTGCAGTAAACTACAGTAACAGTTTGCTATGGAAAATACCAATATATATATATATATTTACCAGGTAATTTTTACAATCATCCATCAAAACAGGCCGTTTTCATCCATGTTCAACACAAGGTGAGGCCCCCCAGTTATAAGTCGGTGTATAAACCCATTATTAAATTTAAAATTCATGCAAAAAAAACAAACGTTCACCAAATTATTTGCGTCAACTTAGCTATCATCAATTTTCTCTATACATCCTATTAAATCCCATTAACTCACCATGTCTCTTGGTTAAATCATGGTTTTTAATGGTTTCCCCATGGTTACATCCAGATCCCAAAAGATGGATTCCGCCCAAACAATTTTTCGCGGCACCTCGTGGCCGTTCGGCAGGGCGCCACCTAAAACGTCTGCTACCTGGGAGGATCAAATCGTATCTTTAGGAAGGAGCAATTGGATCACCATCGTGAAAAACATCTGAGTAACCATCATTGTGGATATCTTTATATTATACGTATATATATATATAAATATATCATTATATATATATATATATATCTCTACATAGTTGGCCAAAAAGACTTTAGATTTTTCGCTTTTCGGTCGAGTGGTGCATCAAAATAGCTAGAAACATCACAGAAAAACATAGCCCATTGCAGCAAGCTACTAGACCCTGGCAGGCTTAGCCAGTTCGCTCCAAGGGGAGCTGAGAGCTCCGCAGCTCGTCACAAGACTTATTTCAGCCATTGTATGGGACAAGCCACGAATCGGGGGCTTACTCAACAGGGTTATTAATGCATTCCTAGACGGGATGATCTTGCCAATCCTCCACCGGATCAAATTTGATCATCAAATGATTCCTTTATGTTCCTTTGCCATGCGATTTCGTTGAAGTTAATGGATATGAAAGATAGATGTTGCCAATTACCATCCCCAACATAGACCCTGGGGTTGGAAGACTAGTCTTTCTAAATGGTTCATTTCCAGAGTCTTTTCACAGTGAAACGGTCGATTTTCCGGGCCTTGTCTTCCACCTCGGCACTGCTCCTGCGATCAAAGGTGGGTGCCTGGAAAAAAACACGGTAGTGCTAATCCTCCAATACTGGATAGTAATTATACATATGTATATATATATATATATAATAAATATATTTTTTTGGCAGACTGCACATGGGAACGATCTCTCGTTGCGGCAGCACGCATGCAAATTCTGGTCTTTGCCTGTGCATCTAGCCTCCAACATAATCTGCGCCAATTCGCGTGCCCATGGCGGAGCAAGTCATCTGCTTGCAACGCTCCACAAAATCTGTTGGAAGGCTAGACGCCGTCATCACCTCTTCGGATGATGGAAAATGTGAGAAAAATCCCTCAGCCAAAGCTTTACAGAGGGCTGGAGGATACTCTTTAAGTTTCGCTGTGCGAAACTGTCCTTGCTCGTCGATGCCAATGGTGTGAGCTCGTGGAACATGGGCACAGACTGCATTGGCACGGAGAAACTTTGGCAGGTCAGGAAGGTTCAATGACAGCAAGCCAGTGCGCTTGGCGCTATCTGCTCCCAGTAATCCCTGCGCAAATTCGTAATGTCGAAAGCCTGGCAATGTGGTGATCAGCTGAACTATCGGCAATCGCCAGATGCTGGCTGCTTGGTCGTCAGCTGGTTCAGCCGGATGTTCCAAGGCCCCGCAGCTCTTGACCGTAGACAAAACCACCATGGCCTTCAGGCTAAAGCCAAGGAGGAGATGGCCGTCGAGGAGCTGCCGTTTCTCCTTGAGCGAGACCGATTGAAAGCCCCACAGCGCTGATGCAGTGCGAAGAACTCGAGGTCCTCGTCTGCGCAAGCCAGCCACATGCTTCCCGCGCGCCACCGACCACGTGCAACATGGGGGCCCGCTGAGGAACCCGATCACAAAGCCAGCGCGCATGGATTCCAGCCAAAAGCGTTGTGTCTTTTGATTACCAATGTCACCCCAAGTTGAATCTATTACGATATCGAGGGAAACTACATAAAAACCTTCCAATTTCTGCTGGCGACCCAGTGCATCAAGGAACCACTGGAAGTCCCCTGGCCTACGTCGGCCCGAGTATGCATGAAGCACGACTCGTTCTCTGAAGACTGGTCGCGGGCAGGATAAGGTTGGTTTCCACGGTGATGGAGCAGCTGCCAAGTCACAACACCACTGTTCATAGAGATCAAGATGATGAAGGTGGTCTGTTCCAGCTGTCTCATACTGAATCTCATTAAGAAAGCCCCATGTTGACGGCTCCAGCAGACGCTCAAGCGTCATGAAAACAGTGGCCCGCGGTGTAGCTGCATCGTACTCCTCAATCATCAGGATCGATTGGTGCACATGTCGGATGGTGAGCTGCGTATGCGTCCAACTAATGTCATGCATGGTGATGCAATCTCGCATCTGTTGTTGTAGATCTTCTGGCGCAAGTGCCGGAGAGTCCAAAATCAACAAGATGAGTTGCTCAAATAAGGGAACATGATGTAGATCAATTTCACCCGGAAGTTTCAACTGTGGTCTTGGGCCTGCTGCTTGTTGAACGGGGAGCAGGTCATCATGCTGAGCATTCAGGATGGCATTGTCCTTGGAGCCAATGCCAGGCATAATCTGGGCTGGCATTGCTCTCGTGCAGAGTTGTGCTCGGCATGGATCTGACCGGCGAAGATGTGCCTGCAACTTATCAAAGGAGTGAAATTCTTTGAGGCATATTTCACAGCCAGTGTGGGTGATCCAATGTCGTTCTCGCGCACAAATACCATGCACTTTGAAGAGGTGTGCTCCTTCCCCAGCTTTTGACTTGCATCGAATACCACATGACATGCAACCATAGTGTCCCGTCTGATGTTCAATCGGAATGTTGGGCCGTACTGGTGCAAATTGGAGCGGTCCCCAGTGCGCAAGGTGTCCAAAAACATCATGATGGAGTCGCCGTAGGAGTAGATCATCTTGCCGATGTAGCTGTGACAGTTGAGTTCCACGTTGAAGCAGCGTCTTCCAGTAGCTACGGTGGTAGCGGAGCACATATTCCCAAGCCGGAAAATGTTCCGCTGGATCGCCCAAACGGGTGGTGTTCTCAATCAGGCGCCAAAGCCATTGGAAGTCGAGTTTGATCTGGTGCATCCATTGAGTGTCCGCTCGAATGAGAGCCCAGGGAGTGATAGCCTCACAGCGATAGAGCAGTCCAACATAGCGCAGCCGCGATATCCGAAGAAGATCTTCTGGAGCTGGTAGTTGGGTCTGCGCCAAGATCTCATCATCCTGAATGGCGCTGTCTGGTGGACACTTCATCAGTCTTCTATAGAGACGAAGAATTGCTCCATTGAAGTAGGTTTTGGATCTCGCATCATCCAAAAGCCAGGATTCGGTACCATAAGAGATCTTGCTGGTGACAAGGGTCATGAAAAGTTGCGTTCTCTTGTCTGCCGAGAGGACCTGGTTCTGGAAGAGCAGTTTTCGATGAAGATTGAAGGCGTTGTTGCCGATAGCAATGCGTCTTCTCATCTCCTTGCGAGACGTACCAGTATGGTGTGTCAGGCCACCAAGATGGGTGTAGTCTCCAACGACTGAAATGTAGTGGGTACCATACTCCGTGAGTATCGTCATCCTTTGGCCCTGTTGAGGACTGAAATACTTCTGCTTGAGTTTCCTGGAACCTTGTCCTCTGAAGGAGAGGAGGATCTCAGTCTTCCCCTTCTGAAGATTGGGTGTGACTCCGTGGTTCATACAGGTTTCCAGAAGCACGCTCGCCGCTAATCCAGCTTTGTTTTCAACTCCATGGGCTGTACTGCAAGTCACCGTAATACATAGGTCGTCCATCCAGGTTGGCCCCAAAATGGAGTGTGGTTGTATGGGTGCTGCATGAAGATCTGGGAAGAGGCCAGTTGTACCAACGTCATGAATTGTCTCCAAAATATCGAGTTCCTGCATCTTCTGTTCGACCATGGTCAGCAAACGGGCGAACATGTATCCAAACACCACGTCGGCAAATGGGTCGCCCGGTCGTGTGCCAACCCTGGTGTGGGTGGCATCAGTTTGGCCATGTACTCGGAAATGTGTGTTGGTGTGCAAAGCCTGTAGTGCTCGTGCAAGATGAGGTGGAAGGCCAGCCATCGCCGTTGCCGCAGGCAATTGCAAGAGATGATGAAGGTCACGAACAGCATCTGGAGGGAGCCTCAATCGGTCTGCAATACTGGACAGCAGAGAGTCTGTGATGACTCCTCCAATGGCTATAGGTCTAATGACCCTATAGAAAGCTTCCTGAAGATCGAGGAAAATCATGGCGTGGGATCGCTTGGTCTGTCGAGCCATGCGAGCAGTGGAGCGAAGATAGTGCACGCCCATGGTGACTGGGAAGTGCCTTCTGCCTCCGACTTGTTGATGTTGGAGAAAAGCCTCATACACATTGGCTTGATGATCTCGGATGGCACGATGTACAGTTTTCCCAACATGTGAGCTGATGAGCAGCGATCGATATGAAGAACACAGGTTTTGTGGTCCTTTACGCTTCCATGCTGCGACCAGGAGGCCACCTTTGTGCTGGAGCGCCTCTTGGCCATGTGTACAGAGTTTGAGCATCTGAGTGAATGTCAACCGGGCCATCTGAACAGGGTGCCGGTGACAAATTTCTGGTGGAACTTGATCATCACCTACAGCTTTGTGAGGTCGCACTCGACGGAAAGCATGTTCTAGATCTGTCAAGGTCGGAACGTCTTCCGGTCGAAGTGCCAAATCCTGCTGCATGAAGGTGCCCAGATCTTTGATCCAATCGTTGCGCAATTCCGATGCACTCACTCTGTGGCCTCCTTCCATGGTACCAAAGAAGTCCGCCCAGCAATTGGTGAGCTCCGTTGGGGTTGTACATGGTTGTCCTTGTTCATTCAGAATCGATGGCAGTGGTGAAACTCGACGTAGTTTGGGATTTGTCGGTCCTATCACTGGCTTGAGAGTATTGAGAATTGTTGAAGCCGCACAATCAGGAGGAAGGGCGGTGATGATCTCTTTGACGTGCACACGCTTGGCTGCTGTCAATTCACATCGAAGTTGGCGAGAGACAACGTAGAGCTCAATGCGTGTTTTCATTCCATGAACTGCCAAAGAGTTTCCAAATTGTACAGATTGTACATGTCGATCATCTTCAAGACGACCTGCCCAGCGCATGAAAATGCGAGTCATGAACTCCTGTTGTTGGCGCTTCTTGTTGTTTTTGACAGCTCTTTGAAGTCGTAGCTTTTGGGCTCGAAGCTGCCAGACATGTTCAGAGATGAAGGATTTCTTCGGACCCTGGCGCTTAGCCGGACACTGTTGATGTAGGACAGCAAGCACATGCTTGTTGAAATGGTCAACTTGGTGCTCAATGTCCACCTGCCATGGTAGCGGAGCATAATCATCAAGGCCTTTTGCCAGATCGGCAGTTAGAATACCAGTGCGGTCATAGGATTTGATCTGCTGTTTCTGACATGTCTTGCGGCTAGCACCTTGCCATGACAGCTCAATGGCCATAGCACGATGATCTCCCAAGTGACCCATGTCCAGTTGATCAAGACTACAAGATTGCGTGCAGTCTGATGCCCAACTGAGCGGAACAAGTACGTAGTCGATGCGATATTCCGCTTCCTCAGAGGGGTGCATCCATGTGGTCTGATGTCCTTCATGAAAGGGAAGAGTCGAGGGCACACATAGTTGATGTTCCTCCAGGAATTCTCTGAAAAAGGCCGTGTTATTGTTGGCCACATCATCATTCTCGAAGACGTGGATGTGGTCTGCTGGCCCACTGCGAGCATTGGCGTCCATCATGACCATGATTGGGGCTTGTTGGACATGTCGATGAACTGTTGCTGAAAGAATATGCCACCATGTTTCACGTTCATCATTGGAGATACCACTGTGCGGTGAGTGTGCACATAGAATCCAGAAGCACATGTCCTCATTGACCACATGAACCAAGAGATGTCGCGGTGACCGATCCACAACGACAAAGTCTGATCGTTGGAAATGTTTGGGTTGTTGACCTTGATGAGCATATGGCTGCATCAAATTGAT